GTTGGTGGCCATTGCTAGTAGGTTGGAGGGCATTGCTGGTAGGTTGGAGGCCATTGCTAGTAGGTTGCTGGTAGGGCGGAGGCCATTGCTAGTAGGTTGGTGGCCATTGCTAGTAGGTTGGAGGGCATTGCTGGTAGGGCTGGTAGGTTGGAGGCCATTGCTAATGGGCTATACAGTTATACAGAGGCCTTTGATTGGACTCGTACCTCCCAAAGCCGGTCTTCAGCTTCTTCGGCTCCGTTGACCGTCCAGGTCTTCAGCTCCAGCACTCCAAGAGGTCGGACGCTGGTCCTTCCACAGACACGTCAGGTGCGGGGCATCCGTCGCCTTTGTAGAAACAAGTTTTCCTCAAACTGTTTACTGTTGGGGTTCCCTCTTAGGAACAAAGAAGCTGGCCACAGTCTCTGGCCGCACCGGTTAACACTGTGTCTAGGCAGTGTCCGCGCCGATCTCCAGACCTTGCGCAATCAAAGGGTCCAATGCGAGAAAACACTAATTTGCACACGGGCAAGCCTTGTGTGGCACCTAGTGGGAAAGCGCCAGCCCGCAAGCGCGAAGACCGCAGTGCCGCAGCATGGCCCAACATGCATGTCCTTGTCCTCTCTTCTTGTTGTTGTCCTTCTTCAGGTGTTCATTGAGGTTCCGGCGGAGGTTCCCGATTAAGTTCCGGAGCAGGTTCGGAGGAGCTTCCGAAGCACTTTGCAGATATGCTGACATGCTGTTATGCTGACATCGTCATGGGGTAATGCTGACATGTCATCACGCTAGCACGTTGTCACGCTGTCAGGGTTGTATGGCGCTGTCATGTCGACATTCTAACATGTTGTCACTCTGTAGTGCTGATCTGCAAGAATATATAGCTATGTCATGCTGACACACGGTTTCTGCTGCTGCTAGCATGCTGTCTGCTGGCATGCAGTGTGTTGTCACGCGGATATGGCGGCCTGGTGTTGTGTTGGCGTGTTGAGAATAATGCCGTCGTGCGGTCACATAGACACGCCGACATGTCGTCATATCCTGGCATGGTGTTACGCC